TTTTGTTTTCCTCAGGGAGGTGACACCTGTTTCTGCAGGAATAGCATCTTATCTACATTCTTTTCTTCACCTGTGTAAAGAGTTGCATAGGGAAACCTGAATTAACTGTACCATATTTCCAATTTAGTCCAGGGATGTGTACGATTTCTTCATGAGGGCACCTGCTTCCTGCTCTGACACCATTTTCCAGAACAGAGCCTGGTGCATGTTAAATCCTTAGTAATTGTTGCCACATAGCTGTAATAATTTTTTTTTTTTTTGCCATTCTGCTTTGCTATCTCTCTCCTATACCCTTGAATTTTCTCACTTTCTTTCTCGCTCCCTCCTGTGATGTCTCCTTTGCACACTGTGTGTCCTGAGAGAACTTACGTGTAACTGTGTCCAGCAAAACTGGAGTCAAGGATGCCCATTGGTATGTGAATGGTAGCAGAAAATGTATTTAGACAAGGATTGTGATAGAGTAACCTAACGGATTCATTAGTCAGTGTATTAGTCCATTTCCATACTGCTGTCAAGACTGGGTAATTGATAAAGAAAAAGAGGTTTAATGGACCCACAGTTCCACATGGCTGGGGAGGCCTCACAATCATGGCAGAAAGTGAAGGAGAAGCAGAGGCACATCTTACATGGTGGCAGGCAAGAGAGCGTGTGCAAGGGAACTGCCCTTTATAAAGCCATCAACTCTCCTTAGACTTATTCACTAACACAGGAACCACCAGAACAGCATGGAAAAAACCCACCCCCATGATTCAGTGACCTCCTACTGGGTCCCTCCCATGACACATGAGGATTATGGGAGCTACAATTCAAGATGAGACTTGGATGCAGACACAGTAAAACTGTATCATTCAGGAAGCTGTCCCTGAAGTGGAGGACAAAGTGATTTCCCAAGGACGGCTTCTTTTCATCAGAGGATCTTAAGCAACTGAGGGAGTTTAATTCCTGACTTCACCCACAATGGTAGGAGGCTGGGTACTTGGCTCAATCAACAATCCAGTCATGAGGAGGGAACTAAGGACAAGCATGTGTGTGTCAGCGAGCAGATGCATATAATTATCAGAGGTTTTCCCCTAACATCAAGAGATATAGAGAGGTGAAAGTCCAGACTGTGATGGAATTATGTCCAATGACTAAGAATTTTACTTTGATAGATATGGTAGATGTGTTAGTCCATTCTCACACTGCTATAAAGAAATACCTGAGACTGGGTAATTTATAGAGAAAAGAGATTAGCCATTGCAAACAAGGGCAGCAGACTAATCACTAAAAGTTAGTCTGGTTATTTTTCATATAGAAGTAGGTTTAAAACAAGGGAAGAACACAGTCAAAAGTGACACAGACAGGACCGAGGGAAGTGAAATTGAGGATATTGATGATTCTCTCAAGCCCACAGTGTGCAGATGTGGAGGATGCAGATGCAGACTGGGATATATCGTCCCTAGAGGAAGAGGTATCTTTGGGGAAAAAATCTGGGAAAGAAAAGAAGGAACCTCCATCCGTGAAAAATGAACCACATTTTCCTCATGTGCTAAATGCCTGGGGCACATTTAATCCTAAGGGCCCAAGGGGAGAAGGACTTCAGGAAAATGAATGAAGCACATTAAAAAGCAGCTTAGTAAGTGTGACTGATTGCAGCGAAACTTCAGATGTCTAGTTCCTCGTGTCAGAAGGTTCTTCCAGAAGCCAGCAGTATTTCAGCATCCCAGTGTTTCTGTAACTTGCCTCCGTGACTCCAGTGCTTCTGTCTTGCCACGTCTCCCACAGCAACACAAAGACTGATTCAAAGAACAATGGTCTCTTTAATGGCACCTAATGCAGTATTGAAAATCAGATCGTGAACAGTATTTTGAAATGTATACAGGTGTTTAAGACTTCCGCTGCTTAAAAATAACATGTCATTGAAGTCATAAAGTTTTCTCTTCAGAATGATACTCTAGTGTTAAGTGTATTTTTTTTCAACTAATTTTTAATTGAATTTTTTAAAATTTACAGGCAGGTTTTGGTTTGAATTACTAAAACTTTAAAAAATATTTTTCTTATGTATCCTGTCACAATGCAGCTATTTATATTATAAAATTATGTTAGTAGTCTTAAAATTGAATTAGTGGAACTGCTAATCACTAAAAGTTAGTTTGGTTATTTTTCATAAAGAAGTAAATTTAATCTGGGCGTGATGGCATTTGCCTTTAATCCCAGCGACTGGGGAGGCTGAGGTGGGAGGATCACTTAAGCCCAGTAGTTCAAGACCAGTGTGGGCAATATAGCAAAACTCCACCTCCCCCAGCCCCTAAAAAAGTTACTTTAGAATTAGAATATAGCTAGGTCCATATTAAATACATTTTCCTGAAGCACATGTATCACATTCAGCTTTGAGCCACTGTAAGCATGTTACTATTAAATGGTTGGTTATTCCATATAGCATATTATTTATCTTGGATATTTTATTAATAAAGCATAGCTATTTTAAGTGCCAATTAATTTATCAGACTAAATAGACAATATCTAAGTCATTACTGACTTTATACATGTATTTTTTTTTTTACTTTTTAAAATGTCCAACATATATTATAAAATACCTCAAAAGTAATTTAGTTATATTCTTAAACAGTGACATTGTTGAAAGAAAGTTCACACAAACTTTTTTTTTTGCATTTTTATAACTCGGTGGTACTATATCCTGTTTCCAAGAAAAAGTAACTTTTAACTAAAAGATTTGTTGGGTTTTAGATCTCTTTTCATTTGTCAACCTTTTCAGTAAAGCCCTCCATTACATTAAAAAAAAAAAAAAGAAAAGAGGTTTAATTGTCTCATGGTTCTGCAGAGTGTACAGGAAGCATAGCAGCTTCTGCTTCTGGGGAGGGCTCTGGAAGCTTTTGTTGGCAGAAGGCAAAGAGGGAGGGAGGCACTTCACATGGATGGAGCAGGAAATAAAGAGGGAGGAGGCATTGCTGCACGCTTTCAAACAACCAGATCTCACTCACTCACTATCAGAAGAGCAGCACGGAGTGGATGGCGCTAACACCTTCATGAAGGAGCACCCCGCGATCCATCACCTTCCACCAGGCGCTGCCTTTAACACTGCGGATTACAACTTGATATGAGATTTGGGCAGGGGCACAGATCAAACCTTCTCCACAGACCATGGTAATTCACGTCTTCAAAGTTATGGAGGGGGAAGAAGAAGGCCAAGACATAGAAGCATTATCACAGTTCAAGTTAAAATCACCGAGTTTGACGGGAGGAAGTTCGTTGTATAGAAATACTGTAAAACGGGTGCTGAATTATTTGAGCCAAGCTGGGGGCACATGGAAGGTTCGGACAGTGTGCCAAGGAGTATGAGGGGAGTAAGAGAAGTGTACCGTGTGGACCTGAGTAGGAGGGAGTTGTTGAGCCACAGAAGCAGAGCTCAGGGCAGAAATAAATTGTCAAGAGGGCAGGGGATGCCCATCCCTCTTTATACTTCCACAGTCAGGGGTAATCAGAAAACTGGCATACGCCTGAAAGGAAGCTGATACATGGGTCATCAAAAAAAATAAAAAAAACACTCAGAAAATCTCATTCAAGGAAAGGCGTGTGAACACTTTCAAAGGTTTTTCACAAAAGAGAAAAACATTAGAGGAGTTTAGGAAACGGGATGGAGAAGAGGGAGGGTAGGCTGGAGAGAGAGAAAAACTGACCAAAGCACACACAAATTGAGAATGTGGGCCAGGCGCGGTGGCTCACGCCTGTAATCCCAGCACTGTGGGAGGCCGAGGCGGGTGGATCACGAGGTCAAGAGATCGAGACCATCCTGGTCAACATAGTGAAACCCCGTCTCTACTAAAAATACAAAAAATTAGCTGGGCATGGTGGTGCGTGCCTGTAATCCCAGCTACTCAGGAGGCTGAGGCAGGAGAATTGCCTGAACCCAGGAGGCGGAGGTTGCCGTGAGCCGAGGTCGTGCCATTGCACTCCAGCCTGGGTAACAAGAGCGAAACTCCATCTCAATTAAAAAAAAAAAAAAGAATGCGGCTCCTCTCGTCGAGTTAGATTAACAAGATTCTCATTCTGGCTTTGAGCATCTAACCATGAGCAAGTTACTTATCATCTCTAAGGCTCAGTTTGCTAACCAATCAATTAACGGTCATGATGATGCTGGTGATATAATCATAATCATGATATATATTCATGATCAGGTGTTGGGAATACTAACACCTGCTTCATAGGATTGTTGGTAAAAATTACATGAGATAAAAAGTGTAAAACACTTAATGTTTAGATACAAAAAATGCTTAGCTTCTACTTCCTGAAAAAGAGGAGGAGGGGATATTTCAGGGTTTTAAGGGATAAACAGCTATTACGGGAAGATGGCGGGTCAGAAAGTGATGGTCAAGGATAGGTGGCAAGGGCAGAGGGTCCGAGAAGCAACATCGGTGAGCTGAGAAATGATCCCGTCTTAAGTGGTAAACTCAGGTATTGGAAATGAGTCTTTCAAAAAGCTCTTATTCCAAATTTTGCAACCCAGTTGTTGGTTCATTTCTGGAAATCATTTCCTAATACATTGATTCATTCATCCTACCAATATTTACTGAATACCTACTCTCTGCCCTGCGCTAGGCACTGAGAACGGAAAGCTAAATGGAATGGACGCAGTCCTTGACATCACAGTGCTTACCATCTTGGCGAAAAATATATATAGACATTTATTTCGGATGTATGACTGAATGATCCGGGGACTCCCCATTCCCCTGCTGAAACAAACAAGCAAATCCTGAATAAAAATATCATTGAAAATGCACTAATAGTCTGGCAAAAAAAAAAAAAAAGTTAGACATATACAGATACATTGGGTAGAAAAATGTCCTCTAAGAATTCATGTCTTCCCAATACCTGTGAATGTGACCTTCCTTAGAAATAGTCTTTGCAGCTATAAGAAAATTAAGATGAGGTTATGCTGGATTGGGGTAGGCCCTAATCCAATGAGTGGTGTTTTTATAAGAGAGAAGTTTGGACACAGCGAGATACAGAGACCCAGAGGGAAGATGGCCATGTGAAGAGGGAAGCAGAGACTGGACTTATGCTACCACAAGCCAAGGATTGCCATGACCACTGGAGACAGGAAAGGCAGGGAAGGATGCTCCCTAGAAGCCTGCAGAGGCAGTATGGCCCTACCTTGGTGTTGCACATCTACCCTCCAAAACTAAAAGAGAATACATTCTTGTTATTTGAGACATTCATTTTGTGGTAATTAGCTATGGCAGCCCTGATAAACTAAAACAACACATGCAAAGACCAAAAAATAAGTGCAAGTGGATAAAGTTTCCAGAGGTAGTTGAAGCATGAAGGTCAGCACTCACTCTGAGGACATTAGTTAAACCCAGGTAAGCTGGATCCTCAGTTTCTAGCACCTCAGAGGATGCAGTGAACAGGAGAAAAAGTCCACAGACCACTCAATGTGATGAATTGAATAGGAATCACTGCTCAATGCACCAAAGTCAGTAATTATATGGATAAACCATTAATAAAGCTTCCCCAACCTGAGGTCATCAACAGGAAGCTGTCAGTCTCCCAGATTGGTGCTTGGTGAACAGGAAAAAAAAATTTACTCAGAATTTGTAGCAGTAAATCAGCCCTCACCAGTTTGAAGTCTGAATTCACACCAGTGGATGGTCTGAAAACTCTTAAGCTGAGAATTAAGGTTAAAGTGGCCTGAGGTTAGAAATCTTCTTAGGTGTCTGTAGAATATGCAAGTCTGTTCTGGTATATCCACCACCAGCCAGGCTGATGACGGATCAACCATTCCTAATAATAAATGAAGTTCCAAGGAATAAGGGGCTCACTTTCCCAAATCACAAAACACAAAAGGAGGCAAGGCAATATCTCAAGAGAAAGCAGAATCGTTAACCCACGGAATTAGACACTCAAAGACTTTAGCCGCTGAATTGTCTGATATAGAGAATTAAATAAGTAATTTAATAAATTTGAAGAAATAATAGAAAATTAGAGACCTATGCTAGATGCAAGAGGCTACAGAGACGAGCAAGTAGATTTAGAAAACAAAAGTGAAATAAATATACAGTAATTCAAATTAAAAACCCAATTAGACACAGCTGAAGAGAAAATTCGTGAGCTAAACAGCAGATTGGAAAAAACTGCCAGCATAGAAGCACTAAGAATTGGAAAAGTTAAGAATCATGGAGACTGTAGTGAAAAGGGAACATGAACCTCACGGTTCTATAAGAAAAAAAGAAGTAATATTTGTAATATTTAAAAATATAATCACTGAATAAGTCCTAAGCCAGAACAGGTAAAAAGAAAGCCATAACAGATCATAGTACAATTTTTAGTACACAAAAAACAGAGAAAAAAAATCAGATTACTTTCAAAAGGATGACAAATTGGAGTGACAGCAGATTTCTCGACAGCAATAAAGAAAGCCAGAAGGCAGGATGATATCGTTAATAAACTGGGAGAAAATAACAGTCAAATAAAATCGAATAGCCTGTGGAATTAAAAAAAAAAAAAAAGCTTTCAAGAACAAGGACAAAAGAAAAAATCAGTCATTTTTGGATCATCAACCTGAGAAAGTTTACTATCAACAGACACTCACTAAAATGTGTGTGTGTGTGTGTGTGTAAAGTGAATGTACTTCAGGCAGAAGGAAAGTAATTTCATATCAATGTTATAAAATGAAAAAAATTATAACACATTAGAAAGCATTCAGATGAGTTTAGATAAAACCTATCAAAACCGTAATAATTTCTTGAAGGGTTAAACTTTTTTAAAGATAGAACTAATATACATAATATATCATTTGAGAGAGGAACAACTGAAGTTGAAGTATTCTTGTGCCCTTGTGGTATTCAAGATTATTAAATGGTTGATGTTTAAATTAAAGTGAATTTCTAGAGTAAGCACAAATTGAAGGGAAGTAAGATATGTAACTAACAAACTAGCAGGGGGAGGAATGAAATAGGAAAACTACTCAATAACAAATCCAAAGAAAGGGAGAAAGGAGGGGGAAATACAGAAAAGTGAGGATAATAGAAAGTACAAATAAATATGGTAGAAATAAATTCAAATACGTTAATAACTTTAATTTATAAAAGGAATTTGATACAGGTTTAAAAATGTCAAATTACATTTTTAGATCAGACTGAATTTTTTTTTAAATCCAGCTACCTTTATTTACAAGACACACTAAATTATATGTCAACAAATATATTGAAAGTAAAAGGTTAAAAAAATATACCAGGACAATGTTAAATAAAAATTAAAGTAGGGCATGTAATTAATAACAGATAAATCAACCTTAGAAAAGCATTACCAGAGATAGGAGAGTATCTTGGTCCATTTATGCCGCTATAACAAAAATACCTGCGACTGGGTAATTTATTAAGAACAGAAATGTATCTGTGACAGTCCTTGACGCTGCATCCTCCAGTGTGGACAAACACCACATGCTCTGTTCGCATGACAAAAGGGAGAGACGCGGAAAGAGAGCCCAACAATGTGTGACGGCTTTTTTATAAAGGTCACTCACATGACTGAATCACCTTTAAAGTCCTCACCTATTACCATCACATTGGTGAGTAAGTATCAGCACATGAATTTGGGAGGACATTCAGCCCATAGCAGAAGGGTACCATGTAATGCTAAAAGTACAGTTCATCCAGTAGATGTACCCATTCACAAAGCTTAAAAATACAGACAACAAAAATTTGACAGAACTACAAATAGAAACAAAAATAGCCTGTAATCCCCGAACTTTTGACGCTGAGGCAGGAGAACTGCCTGAGGCCAGGAGTTTGAGACCAGCCTGGGCGACATAGTGAGACCCAATTTCTTTTAAAAAAACCACAACAACAAAAATTGGCCAGGGGTGGTGGCATGCACCTATAGTCCCTGCTCCTTGGGAGGCCAAGATGGAAGGATCACCTGAGCCCAGGAGTTCCAGGCTGCAGTGAACTATGATTGTGCCACTGTAATCCAGCCTGGGCAACAATGAGATCCTATTTCTGAAAAAGAAGAAAAGAAACAAAAATATCCACTATTACAGTGAAAGATTTTAACATACCTCCCTCAATAATTAATTGACCAAACAGAGAGATTATTAACTTTCGGTCTAGGGCAGAGAACATATAAGCCCAAAATATTTTATTGTGCCAAGAAATATGGATGTTCTCACAGAATGTTTGGGGCATGTCAAAAGAACACAGGAGACAGTTTGAAGAAGCTTCCACTGGTCAAATCTGCGATAATTTGAATATCAAAATTTTAAAAATAGGCCAGGTGCAGTGGCTCATGCCTGTAATCCGAACACTTTGAGATGCCGAGACAGGCAGATCACTTGAGCCCAGGATTTTGAGACCAACCTGGGCAACACAATGAAACTGTATCTCTACCAAATATACGCAAAATTAGGCAAGCATGGTGGTGCACACCTGCCGTCTCAACTACTCGGGAGGATGAGAAGTGGGAGGATTACTTGGGAGGTCAAGGCTGCAGTGAGCTGTGACTGTGCTGCTGCACTCCAGTCTGGTGACAGAATGAGATCCTGCCTCAAAACAAACAAACAAACAAAAAATTTTCTAGCGATAGTAATGGATTATACGTCTCTGAGAAAAATAGTAATCAATTACTTAAATTAACTAGTAAATGCTAATTACTTATTGCTAACTAATGAACTGCTTTTCAAGGCAGGCCACCATTCAAGTCCAGGAAATACAGAGAACATCACAAAGATATTCCTCAAGAAGAGCAACCCCAAGGCACATAATCGTCAGATTCACCAGGGTTGAAATGAAAGAAAAAATGCTAAGGGCAGCCAGAGAGAAAGGTCGGGTCACCCACAAAGGGAAGCCTATTAGGCTCACAGTGGGTCTCTCAGCAGAAACCCTGCAAGCCAAAAGAGAGTGGGGGCAAATATTCAACATCCTTAAAGGAAAGAACTTTCAACCTAGAATTTCATATCCAGCCAAACTAAGCTTCATAAGTGAAGGAGAAAGAAAATCCTTTATGGACAAGCAATTGCTGAGAGATTTTGTCACCACCAGGCCTGCCTTACAAGAGCTCCTGAAAGAAGCACTAAACAAGGAAAGGAACAACCAGTACCAGCCACTCCAAAAATGTACCAGATGGTAAGGACCATCAACACAATGAAGAAAATGCATCAACTAACTGGCAAAACATCCAGCTAGCATCAAAATGGCAGGATCAAATTCACACATAACAATATTAACCATAAATGTAATGGGCTAAATGCCCCAATCAAAAGACATAGACTGGCAAATTGGATAAAATGTCAAGGCCCATCAGTATGCTGTAGTAAGGAAACCCATCTCATGTGCAAGGACACACATAGGCTAAAAATAAAGGGATGAAGGCAGATTTACCAAGCAAATGGAGAGCAAAAAAACAGCAGGAGTTGCAATCCTAGTCTCTGATAAAATGGACTTTAAAGCAACAAAGATCAAAAGAGACAAAGAAGGACATTACATAATGGTAAAAGGATCAATGCATCAAGAAGACCTAACAATCCTAAATATGTATGTACCCAATAAAGGAGCACCCAGGTACATAAAGAAAGTTCTTAACGGCCTACAAAGAGACTTAGACACCCACATAACAATAGCAGGAGACTTTAACAATTCACTGTCAATATTAGACAGATCAACAAGACAGAAAATTAACAAGGATATCCAGGACTTAAACTCAGATCTGAACCAAGGAAACCTAATAGACATCTACAGAAATCTCCACCCTAAATCCACAGAATATACATTCTTCTCAGCATAGCATTGCACCTACTCTAAAACTGACTACGTAATTGGAAGTAAATCACTCCTCAGCAAATACAAAAGAACGGAGATCATAACAAACAGTCTCTCAGACCATGGTACAATCAAATTATAACTCACAATTCAGAAACTAACTCAGAACTGTACAACTTCATGGAAGCTAAACAACTGGCTCCTGAATGTCAGCTGGATAAACAATGAAATGAAGGCAGAAATGAAGAGGTTCTTTGAAACCAACGAGAATGAAGACACAACATACCAGAATCTCTGGGACACATTTAAAGCAGTGTCTAGAGGGAAATTTATAGCAATAAATACCCACATGAGAAGCAAGGAAAGATC